TGCAATTAAGGGAATTTAATTTTTTTAGAGCATCTTAGGGTTAATCGGATTGTTATAAAATCCAATTCAAATGTTTGCTTACATTTTATGATTTCTACTTACTAACACGTATTTTATATTACTATAGGTATAATAAATTACAAAATAATATTATTTATTAATCGGACGAATCCATACTGCGTTGAAATTAGATAAAGAGAGGTTACGGCACCAAATAATTTATTTTAGAGTCTATAGCTGTTTAGAAACTGAAATTGGTATAGATGTGTGAGGCGTAACGTGGTATTTTTCAGATTAAAAGTCAAAGATGTGAGAATATAAGTTAAATAAGAATAATAAATTGTTCTGAAAAACTTTTTTTTAAATAATTTGAAAAAATGTTGTGTTTAAAATGGCATATAAAACTTTAAAATAAAAACAAATTAAGTGCATAACTTTGAATTTTTAAGGTATCGAACCATTTCATAGTTTATCTGTTACATCGTGATTTGAACATCATTCGCGTATTCTAATAATTTGACAGCATATATTCTACCATCTACTATGTACTATATTATATTATATTATAAGCTACCTGTTATTATAAAATGTTATAAAAGTGGTTATACTATTAGAGACACTCGCAAACCTCACCGTTTTAGAATTATTTTAAACGGCGGTGGTATAATACATAATGCGCAAGAATCATAAGTAAAAGTTTTTCATATACGGTTTTAAAGCTGCACAGAGCGAGTCGTTTAACGAGTTGAACTCGCCACGGAAATCGATGAGTGGAGCTTTCTCGCTGAAATGGAAGGGAGGTGTATTTATATTTATATATATAATATTATAATGTAACAATATATAATAGTCCCGACAAAGTTTTACCTCTCAAAATTAACCTGTTTTGTTGTACCTACTCTAATTATCTGACGATTAATATAGTATTTCCCTTCCCAAGACACAACTACGTCATTAATTCGATTAATTCAAATCGCATGGCGCATGATGTATACATAACGTTTGGGTTTTCAAGTGGTCGGAGGTAATAGTGGTAGACTGGTCGTAATTTCTAATACCCTTCCCTTGAAAGTCAGTATAGATTTTAGTGCCTAAGTTTTTTTTTCAAAAATTTACTTTATACATTTTTAATGTATCTGTTTCATCCAAGAGCAAGATTATTACTTTATTAATTTTAGATTCAGAAGCTAGCGATGAATATATATTGTATTGACAATGATGAGTATTTGTTGTTTTTTTTTCTGTCATCAACTTTTGGAGTATTAAAATGCTCTAATTTCCGACATCATCTTTTCTGATAGAAAAGTGAATCTAGTTGGTTAAGTTAGGTTAACTATTGGGTAAAATCTCCAATAGTTTTTGAAAGAGTCAGAAAAAACAAAAATAAATGAAGAATAATAGGAGTTTTTACGCAAGACAAATGTTATGTTAACATTTTCGAAATATTTTAACTTTTTTTAAACTGTTTAAATTTTTAGTGTCGATAAAAACTTGTTCACTTGGTAAAAAGCTTGAAAATATAATTCAAGATTCTCATGAGTTTCTTTAATGAAATTTCAAAAATATTAAAAGTTCTTGGTTATTTTGTATATGCATTTATAGTCCTAATTTTGACGAAATTCGTCAAAACCCTAAAATTTTCAAAAGTTTTTTTGGAAAGTAACATTATTTTTTTGCATTTGAATTATTCGTTTTTTACGATATTTGATATTCAGTGATTTTTAATTATTAAACTTGAATATTTATACAAGTATGCTAAGATGCACCGTCTCCGCTCAGACTCGTTTATCGTATTCGTTAGTGTATTTGATTCATCATTGAATTCAAATCCAATACGCATCCGTAATGAATGTAATAATGATATACTCGACAACTACTGTACAGCATTTTTTTAAATTTAATTTGTAGGTATATAAATATAATGTATTCAAAAGAATTTAAAAGTTTTTTATGCTGGGGCATCTTTATTATTACTATGTAGGCATGAAATATAAGTGCACATAATATGCATTTCTCTCTTTACTATGAACTTACTGTGTTTTTCCAATGTTTAAAATTAATTACAGTTAATACCAAAAAATAATAAAAAAATAATTTGAAAAAAAATATACAGTTATGACTTATGACTGTTCCGGCTTATGAATAATTAAATACAAAAATTATTTTAGATAAAACATTTTGGGGGTTTTGAAAAATCTAGAAGGTTGGTAAGCGTAGTGAATAAAAAGTGAAGACCCCTTTAATCTGTTATAAAAAAATGTTTTCCAAACTGTTTTTACTTTTTTTTTAAGATAAAATATTATTGAAAATTTAAGTTCAATTAATTTTTTTATCATATATATTATATTTATTTTACGTAAAATTATACTAAGTGCAAGTGAAATATTTTTAGTAGACTAACTCTTACATCCACACATTTTATAATATATTTTCTAAATATTATAACTGAAAATCATAATAATATTTTAAAGATCTTATATTTTTAATATAGGTACTTGTGTCGAAGACAAAAATTAATACCTATAATATATATGTAACACTAATAGTATTTCAAAGACTCAACGACACAATATGAAAAAAAGAAAACTAATGTAAAAAATAGTTTGTACTTGTATTTGTACAACCCCCCCCCCTCACAATTAATAATAGTTGACCAGACGAATTAAATATGCGCATTAACTAGGTATGTAATTTTAAGTGTAATACTATCTATTTGAATCTTTTATTTTTTACCTTTACAATTAAGTGTTCTTAATAATATAGTTTATACCTATTACTTACAATTTAAAAACGAGACTATTGTCTTAGTCATAACTCATAAGGTTTGATTATTGGTCAACATTTTTAGTACAGGACCATTTGTATATTATTGTGTATATTATATAGGTATAACATATACTGAGTACATTTAAGACGGTGCCTTCTCCTCTGATTTTTACTAGGTTTTCGTGATTAATGATAGACCCACCGTAAGTATCTAATTCGAAAGACGTTCCACGGTCGTTCTTTCCACGGTCTAACCATGTATAATATTATAGAATATGGAATACATATAAGTATATACAATTCATTCGACATTGCTAAGGTATATATAATAATATATTGATATGTACCTAATTAAAGGTAGGAGTGTGTGTGTGTGTATGTTTGTGTGTGTGAGAGGTATTAAAATCGCATCAAAAGCAGAAATTATAATAGATTATAAAAATACATTATAATATTATATACTAATAACATTAGCTGTATTACCTGACTTCGACCGGGTTAAAATGTATTAATTTATTTTTGCATCGTTTTCTGCTTTAAGTCAGAGTTCAGTTGAAATATTGTATAATACGATATTACGATTAATTTTATGATTTTACACTTCTTAATATTCTAGACATATTTTTTTTGTGAATGCGAATAATGGAGACGGATTCAACGACTGATTAAAATCTGACGTAAATCCAATACGTCAATAAATATTGGGATTCATTCGTATGTGTTAACATCAAAAATATTTCCATAATTTAAAAAGTAAATCATAGGTTATGATTGTAATTGTACTGATGATTATTTGATTTTAAGATTTGTTTTTTTTTTTAAATAAATACTTGTAAAAATGTTTTATACATATTAACATACGGATATTAATATGTTTAACAGCTGATAGAAGTTAATGCATCTTCGGAGTCTATTTTGCAGTTGTAATTAGCTTTATATATTTTTTAAATGGCACAACTAAACTTCCCAAAAGCTTTTGTCTTTGGGACACCGGGACAGACTATTTGGAAATATGGAAGTTTCCGGTATCAAACAGCCAGATGCCACCCTAAATTCAGAGTACATATTCATATCATGTACAGCATTTAACTGGTACATATGACATATTTATAGATACAAGTTGATAAATCCCCCCCAAATACACTATAATAAGGGTTGTCATTCGTTCCGATTTCTTAAAACAAGTACTGTCTTCAGATAATTAAGTACCTACTGGTGTGTAATGTGTGAATCGCTAACATTTTTAGCTAAAAAATTGAACATTTTATAATTTTTAAGCAACAAAATAATTTTAAAAATTTCGAGATTTTGATAAATTTTGTCAACGTTTGAACATTAAATACTTATAAAAATAAAATAAAAATTAATATTTATTAACTAATATAATAACAATTAACTAGGAACCTTGTATTAAATTTTCAAGCTTTTTGACTCAACGAATAAAATTTAAATGACATTTATAGAATAAAAAAATTCAAAATTTCAAATATATATAAATAACTCAAAACGAGTCAAAATAGTTTTGTATTTAAATTTTATCATGTACAGAACATTACAAAATAAACATTTGATAAAATGTCAAGTACTTACAGTTAATTGTTTTTGAATAACAACTAAATAAGAAAAGGTTGTATAAGAATTATTTATGAATTTACAGGTGAATATTTTTGAATATTTTTTTTTTGGTGTTACTCTTAGAACAAAATCAATTTTTTCGAAAACTGATTTTCCTTAATTTTTTGTTTATTCTCCTAACTTTTTCCTAGATCTTGAACACCATTGAAATTGTTTACTTAAGACGGCCCCCCCTACCCAACAGTACCAACTCAATTCACTTTCCTACCAGAAAAGATGTTGTTTTCTGTCCCAAAAGTTAATGACAGACACAAAAAAAACACATATCATTGTGAAATAAAAATAGTAGTTGAATTTATGAATTGTATACATCACTGAAACGTGAGCTAATAGGATATGGTCGATTACTCGGGTAAAGCTATAGTGTATGCATCACTAATCAGTAATCATGTAATTTCCATCAACCTCATGACTTTTTTTCGACAGAGTGGGAGAGGAGTCATTGAAGTTTTCTCGATTACAAATTTAATAAATGGCAACCCCTACGAGAGCTACGAATGTATGTATATATATATATGTAAATGCACGTCTCGTATACCGATATCGTCGTCACTCGCTTCTATGGGAAATTCAAAGTATAAAGTCACACAAAAACTCACTTATTATTCGTCGTCGTCTGCTGCAGGCTATGAAACAAGACGTTCGGCGGTGAACGCGTCCATGTGTATGATACGCTATGATATAATATTGTCGAACTGAATCAAAATTGGAGACGGATCATATTACGGAATATTACTTTAAACGTTCATAATAATAATTTAAACGAAAAAACAAAGACGTTAAGCGGCCCTAGCGATTCTCGTTTGTATTCGTTACGTCGAATTCGTACAAGTTCACACACGACGTCAATAAATAATAATTACAATAATAATAATATTGTCTGCAAAAGTACGTCGTCGGTGCTGGTACACCGTATACTGTAATAATATATTATTACATGTTACACGCACGATTGTGCGTTTTAAGTATAGGTACAGCGTTGCACTGCAGCAGCCACCGGACGACAATTATAATATGGATCTACACGGCGCGCTTCTAAGATTTCCGATATGTTATCGATCTATAATATTTTGTAGTAAATACGTGGGCTGTTAGTGATAATAATAATGACGAGGAGGTTAGATACAGACTTGACACTCAAGTGGGAAATTTTCATTAAATGAAAACCAATTGGCGAATAATTATATATGAAAAGGAATGATTTAACTAGTCTTCGTTTATTATGAATATTTATATAATACGCGGGTAGCAATAAATAATAATAATAATAATAATAATAATAATATTAATATTATTATTATATAGGCGTCGAAACGGTCTGCACCACCTGCAGCAGAACCATGACCTCTTGTCGCCACCAATTGACTCTAATAATTTACAGGTCCGTCGTTAATAATAATTGTACACTATTTAAACACTATATATTTTATACCCCTTGCATATTATACATCATGCGCGTGCTTAATAATGTTGACGCAAATGTACGCATAATATATGGATGTGCCGAAATATACATCAGTCAAATGATTGGCATTCATTATACATTCATTACGTTTATTTTATTTCTTAACATATTTTCAACACGAGCGTGCGCCTTATAGAGAAATGTATATGAAATAAAAATCTATATGAGCATGTGCTCAAAATCATACTTTGTCCGAGGTTTAAAAAACGGAATCCATGCAACGAGCGTATCAGAGATTAAACGACGATTAGTCTCGAGGTGGTGTGCAGGATAATGCAGTATGATTACCAAGGTCACTCGCGCATATTACTTTCTTCAATAATGCAGTTATTCAATATCTGAATTTTGGAATTTGAAAATATACTTAAAAACCATATTTTCATATTCTTGTGATTGTTTTATGCTACATGAGAATTATCAGACACAGGAGATGCAATAGCTTCTGTTTCTCAAATAAATTTTACTTATAATCAAGTATATTTAGCAGATTTGACGTATCTAAATCGGAATTCGAATGCGGAGTTTTTGAGTTAAATATGATAAATGATAATATGGGTTTGGAAAATATAGGATGTTGATATGAAGATATTATTAATTAATATAAGTCTATCAAAGTTTATTATTTGTAAAAATGGTCGAAATATAATAAAATATAAATTCTACAACATTACATATATTTTATATTTTTATAAAATAACTTTTATTCTTCGTTTAAATATTTTATCAACTTGTTCAAATTTTTAACTAAGTACATGCCAATATTTTTAAAAAAATTACCCATATTATTAATAAAATAATAAATTTTGCTGTTTAAAAGGTAAGATCTCATTAGAAAATCAGAAGTATATATCGTCACAGGAGATGAAATTTTTTTAAGTAATACACAAAGTCTCAATAATTTAAAAATATGATTTTTCAGTATATTTAAAAAATCCAAAAATCAGAATTTGATTAAATTCATTAATAATAATAAAAAATGGGGGAGGGGGGTGAGTATAGCTTGGTGAATCATTCTGTATAGGTACATCAATATTATACATTATTTTTTAATGTTTACTATCATAAATAAAATTATATAATGCTACGTTGTGATATCCAACTGACTCGAATTTACTAAATAAATCGTTTTGTAAGCTCCTTACCTATAATTAAACCCTTTCTTAAATATACAAGATTTTAAATTAATTTTTAACACACCAGTATATATTATAGTCATTTCCATAATAGATTTTCGAAGTTAATTTTGAAAATGTTTAAATGGATTACATGATTGAATGGTTTTTTTTATGAACCTTGAACAGTTGTTTATAAAATAAAAAACCACTATCCCCCGGCGATTCTTGATCCGAGTAATTGTCCGAATCCAGTAATTACACCGTACGATTATCAAAATGATTTAATCGTATTTATTTCGACAACTCTAATGATTTTACAGAAATATCTGATTCAAATTTTAAGTCAGATTTTACAAGCAGCCCCTAATTTAAATCTAACCTTCTAATATTATAATTAATTTAAATTAGGAAATTCCAACAATTATATAACATATTATATTATATTAATATAAATACTCCTAATCAATTAAAATTAAATCGTGTAGCAAAATATGTCACCGTTTTCGAATGCTTTTTGAATTACTATAACTGAAAAAAATAATAGGATATGTGAAACTTTTGTACTCATTTGATTGTCCCAAAAAAAATTGTTTTCCGAATAACGAAACGACAAACTCAAAGACATCATTGTTTAAAAACTGAAAGCAAGTCCACTACCCCACGTCCCCTCAGAATCTCAGGTAAACTCTAAATATTAAAATATTTTATAAACAACAAATGTACCTTAGGTACAAACAATATTAGGTACCTATAGGTATATATTACCTATAGGTAATATTAGGTATATAGGTATACGTATAATATAAAAACGTAAACTATTTTGTCCTATTCTCTTATATCGTTAAAATGTTAAATATAGAATCTATAACCTTTATAATGTAGTCTATAAGTCCTACGTTGTGGGTACATTTTTAATAACCAAATTAACTTTATTATATTTATCATACAATCAAAATTGTTTATAAACGTATTAGTTGTTAAGTCTTTAATAAAAAGTCTATTTAAAATGTAATATTATAACAATCGCACTCAAAATTTATGGATTTGAGAAAAAGTGATTTGAAGTTTAAATCTAAGATATTTCAAAGAGTTCTTTACCGATGCTTTTGAAATCAAAAATTAAAACACTTAAATATTCGTATAAACATTATACTTTACATTATGACTTCATGAAATATAATGAAATACTCTCTTAAACCCAAAAAGTTATACTTATGGTATTTTACAATTGTTTATGTGAATGAATGACATATTTTGATGCATATTTTGCGACATAACAGTAAAAAATTTCTATTTGAAAATATAAGACTGAACTATTTTCATATTACATAGGTTTCATACGAAAATGAGGTTTTAGTTCACTCAAGAAAAATCACCACACATAGAAAATAAGGCAGTTTTACATTTTGACTTGTGATTAATTGAATAAATTAAATAACTTATATTGCCATGTAAAGTAAATATGACTATGTTACTTTAAAAATTATTTAAAAACTTTATAATTCAAAACTGATACATATTTTTGATAAACTTAATATTTGTATTACCGTAGGAATAAAATCTATCTATGTAACACAATTAAACACACTATATTATTAAATTTAAAAGCAAAAACTGAACAATTCGATTAATAACATAAAAACAGACAGAAAACCGACATCGTCAATAGTTGTTTATATTATTATTATTTATTGTTATTATAAACATACGACGACTGTGGACTGTGGTAGAGTGCTCATTATAATGATTAATTGTAAATATATAATAACACATATTTTGCGAAATCGTGTATTGTTATAATGCTTCTGTAGTTCTGAGAACTGTTTTGTATCATATTAATATATTACGCAGTAACCTTATGAGGGGGCGAAAGAAATAATATAATATTTATTACGTTCCTAGAAAAATGATGATGAGACTCATCAAGACACAGAAACGGGATACGAAATCATTTCTCCCGAAAAAAATTGATTGTTGGGTGGGTATTTTTCGGTATTAGTTTATTGTTGGATGCCAACGTCAAAAATATAAGTAATAAACTATATCCTATAGTATTTAGCAGAAATAAAAGTATCATCTTTACAGTTTGATCCAAACTCATAATGACAACAATGTTCAAATACTAAAATTATACTTAATTGGCTAAATGGCTCGGTTTAAGGACTTTAAACTTTTTTTTAAATTAAATTTTTAAAAAGACTTCAAGATGACAATATTTAAGGTTAATTATGTAAGTATTCAATGAAGTCTACTGCATAATATACAAAAATATAAACAGGGTGATTATTTTATCTGTATAAACACTCATCTTTAATTAATTTTTCACACGCGTTTGAATTTCAAATTTTTAACAAAACCGTGAATAATCGTGTAGGTATATGTCATACAAGCTAACACAGGCCGTCTCCAATCAGGATCATTTTCATCGTATACAATTATAAATTTATCTTTAAATTTAAAATAAAAAAATTAATTACAATTACAATCTTAGTGGCGAGATACATTCGAAATACCTGGAATAAAACAGAGCAACTTCCTCGGTTTTTAATTTCATATTTCAAAATATAGGGATACTTTTCTAAAGACTGTAAAGACCTGACACCTTTTTTTTGCAATTTTTGTTTTAACGTACATATATTTAGTTAAGCACACTGAAAACGATGGTGAAGTCAGAATTTGGAGCTCAGACTTAGTTTTGAAGTTAAAACAAAAAAAAATACAAAAATAGGGTAAACGATAGAAATATACCCAAAAATATGGAATATTTCTGAGAAATTCTTGAGTATAAAAATAGAATTTCAAACAAATTATTAATTAATTGTTAATAGAATTTATATGCATAAGTATGTATTTTTTTGTTTTGCAGTAGCAACGTTCTTTTACAAATTTGGTATCCACGAATGTTGATACAAATGATCCAATTTTTATTTTGCATATTTGTACATATTTTATACATAATGTATATAATATTATTGCATAATTTAATTAAAAACTTTAAAATCGATTTTGTCTTAGGCAAAAAAAATGTATTAAAAATAATATTCTATGGATTTGTATTTTATAAATAAGACTAACAAAAATTAAAAAGCATACATTGTACAAACAAAGTAACTCGATACAATCTATTTTAAAACTATAAGATATGTATCTCTTTAGTTTGGACATTTTTGGTTGATTCATTGTATATGTATGATTGTTAGATTTTAATTACATATTTAAGCATACTTTACTATTTCAACATTATATGAGGGTGACAAACATTTCTAAGACTAAAATACCATAACATACATTTAAGTATTTAAAATGTATAAATGAGCGAAGTAGTGAACCATTGATTTTAAGCAGTGCCCAGTGTGCCACTTTACTCCGCTTATATTATATGAATATAAAATAGGTACTTATAAGTATTATAGTGAATTAGGAATTAACCATTAGTCAGAAATTT